ATCCCCCCTCCCGCCTCCCTCTCCATCCCATCCCTCTGGGTCTTCCCAGTGCACCAGCCCTGAGCACTTGTCTCATGCATCCAGCCTGGGCTGGTGATCTGTTTCACCCTTGATAGTATACTTGTTTCAATGCTGTTCTCTCAGATCATCCCACCCTCACCTTCTCCCACAGAGTCCAAAAGTCTGTTCTGTACATCTGTGTCTCTTTTTCTGTTTTGCATATAGGGTTATTGTTACCATCTTTTTAAATTCCATATATATGCGTTAGTATACTGTATTGGTCTTTATCTTTCTGGCTTACTTCACAGTGTATAATGGGCTCCAGTTTCATCCATCTCATTAGAACTGACTCAAATGAATTCTTTTTAATGGCTGAGTAATATTCATAGTGTATATGTACCACAGGTTCCTTATCCATTCGTCTGCTGATGGGCATCTAGGTTGCTTCCATATCTGGGCAATTATAAAGAGTGCTGCGATGAACATTGGGGTGCACGTGTCTCTTTCAGATCTACTTTCCTCAGTGTATATGCCCAGGAGTGGGATTGCTGGGTCATATGCAGTTCTATTTCCAGTTTTTTAAGGAATCTCCACACTGTTCTCCATAGTGGCTGTACTAGTTTGCATTCCCACCAACAGTGTAAGAGGGTTCCCTTTTCTCCACATCTTCTCCAGCATTTATTGCTTGTAGACTTTGGATAGCAGTCATCCTGACTGGCGTGTAATGGTACCTCATTGTGGTTTTGATTTGCATTTCTCTGATATTGAATGATGTTGAGCATCTTTTCATGTGTTTGTTAGCCATCTGTATGTCTTCTTTGGAGAATTGTCTGTTTAGTTCTTTGGTCCAGTTTTTGATTGGGTCATTTATTTTTCTGGAGTTGAGCTGGAGGAGTTGCTTGTATATTTTTGAGATTAATCCTTTGTCTGTTGCTTCGTTTGCTATTATTTTTTCCCATTCTGAAGGCTGTCTTTTCACCTTGCTTATATTTGATTGGCATCTTTAGAATGTGTCCGCTGGGGGAGGAATCCAGCCCTGCCTTCTAGGTAGGTGTCCTTCGTATTTCCTGTCTCCAGAGCCTGGAGCCTTAAACACCTGTCCTCATTTATTTTGTGTGCCTTTAGGAAAGTGATCAGAGAATATGGCATATATGCAGAGTAAATATAAATGTAAAAGGTATATTTCCCTTCCTCTCCCTGGCAAATGTCAATTGGGTATGGATCAGAATCCATAGTTAATTCCTGAAACTACTGTTGGCTGATGGCATCTTTGTCTTTTTCTTTTCTCATTTATGCTGATAATGGTTTCTTATCATGTTGTACACAGTTCTTCCTTATCTACAACCCTGTCTTCTGGAACTTTGTAACCTTAGGCTTGGATATAGCCAGAAGAAACCTGAAACCTCCTTGGTAGCACAAAAGCAGGCCCAAAGCATTGCACAAAAAAACTGAAGACCTAAAGGTACTGAGATTTGGAATTGAAAGAGACACATGTACCCCAGTGTTCATTGCAGCACTGTTTGTAATAGCTAGGGCATGGAAGCAACCTAGATGTCCATCGGCAGACGAATGGATAAGAAAGCTGTGGTACATATACACAGTGGAATGTTACTCAGCTATAAAAAAGAATGCATTTGAGTCAGTTCTAATGAGGTGGATGAAACTGGAGCCTATTATATAGAGTGAAGTCAGTCAGAAAGAGAAACACCAAGACAGTATGTTAATGCATATATATGAAATTTAGAAAGACGGTCATGACGACCCTACAGGCAAGACAGCAGAAGAGACACAGATGTAAAGAACAGACTTTTGGACTCTCTTTTCTCTTCTCTGGGAGAAGGCAAGGGTGGAATGATTTGAGAGAATAGCATTGAAACATGTATGTTACCATATGTGAAATCGATGAGCAGTACAAGTTTGATTCCTGAAGCGGGGCACTCAAAGATGGTGCTCTGGGACGACCCAGAGGGATGGGGTGGGGAGGGAGGTGGGAGGGGTTTCAGGATGGGGGACACATGTACACCCGTGGCTGATTCATGTCGATGGATGGCGAAAACCACCACAAAAACCTCCAATTAAAATTAATAAGTTAATTTAAAACAAACAAAAAATAAAGACACTGAGATTTGCCATCTCAACACTTCTATAAAGGGAGCTGTAAGTGGCTGGTGATGACTCCAAGAGGCCAGCCTTTCATGTGACAGTGACTAGTCTGAGAGAAGCAACAGGAGATGGAGGAATGCAAGCAGCGGTGTGGGGTGGAGAGGGGGACATTGGTGGTGATCACAGACAGAACTGGGGGAACTTACATCCCAGGCAAGGAGAAAAAGCCAAGGGTGAGAGTGGCGTTAGGGGGTGGCAGGTGGAGGTTGTGGAAATGACAGAACGGTGAGGCAGGCTGATGAGCAGGAGGTCCTAGAGCAGCAAAGAAGGCAACAGATGGGGAAACAACATGGGTAGAAAACCTGAACTTCGATATAGGCGTGCTCAGATGGCTGCTTAAAAACTGGGTCAGTCATGAAGACCTTCATGTAATACCATGAAAACTGGAGGTAGACGTGGACATTTGTTGAATGAGTGCATTTATGCATATACCATTTCCACCGTGGCTCTGGTGTGTATGTGTGTTGGGGGGTGGTAGGGTGCACACGAAAACTGCAGGCAGTGTGTGCAAAGGTGAAGGCACACCCGGTCTGCCCTGGGCCTTACAGCTGATGGATTCTATGCAGGATAACCAAGGAACAGTGAGGCTGACTTGCGGTCAGCTGCCACCACAGCCAAACAGGGACTCTCAGGTCAGGTACCTGGTATGAGCACCTGGTAAGGGGCAGCACAGGGTGGTATACCAGTCCACAGGCAGACTGTCCTGGCTGAGCCGAGGGACCTGTGCAAACCAGCCTCTAGAAGGCACATCTGCTATTGACATAGGCAGGGGCGGAGGAGAGGCAAAATCAGAGGCTGGGAATTGCGCCCAGGGGGGTCTGCAGAAGTTCTTTGGTCCCCTGGGTCCCCAGAAGTGCCTGCGTCCTGAGGTGCAGATATCTAACAGTTGCCAGCAGGTGCAGATGGGATGGCGGGGGAGGGCATGTAGCCAGCATTGACTCTGGATTGGGCTCTGTCATTATCGCCCAGCCATCCGCAGCTGGGGATGCTGGTGACCTGTTTACAGGCAAGGAAGGACACAGTATATTTTAGAAAGTTTTCCAATGCCTATTTAAAATTTTAAGGTCTAAAATGTCTTAAAACTCTCTGGCTAACTCCAGAATGACTCATTTCTGACATATTCCAAATGAGTATTGTATTTTGCATATGTACAGTGTTTTCTCCTTTACAAAGTGTATCTATAGACATTATTCCATGTGATTTTTTAAATAACATTTCTCTGAAATGAATAAGGTTTTTGTTTTTACATGTAAAGAGTTTGAGACAGAGAAAGATGAAGCAGACCGTCTAACGGCACCCAATCGGCTGCTGGGGAAAGGGAGGGGGACCCAGGTTTCATGAGTTCCAGCTCTTGCCATGACAGTGTAGTGCAGCGTCATCGATTGCTTTTCCACGTGCTTGACTGTGACCGGAAAGAGTGAACCGTGGAAAGGGCCTGTGAAGAGCTCCAGACACTCTCTTCCTTCGTGTTTCCATAGGACTGCCTCCTAACTCAGAGGTTTATTCTTCATCCTCTACAGAAGCATTCCATGTGGGCAGTTTTGGTGTTTAGGCTCAGAGTAAAAGAAAATGAATGTGGGTTTGTTTTGGTTTTGCCTTTCCTTGACCAGTGGATCTGAAAACCCTCCAAGTGTGAAAGTGTTAGTCGCTCAGTCATATCCAGCTCTCTGCTACCCCATGGACTGTAGGTAGCCCCCCAGGCTCCTCTGTCTGTGGAATTCTCCAGGCAAGAATACTGGAATGAGTTGCCACTTCCCTCTCCAAATGTGCCTCTTATTCCCCAGATTTTAGTCCTGTTCCTCACAGTTCTGAGTATCACTGTGGACACATTTGTATCTCTTGCTTTTCCCAGTCAGTTACCAGAGTGAGATTCTGAGATATATGCAGTTAACTGGTGACAAAGAACAGAGAGAAGCTGTTTTTAAGAAATCAATTAAAAGATAACTTGGAAATCTTAAGGAGACATCTGAAGGAGTGAATCAGTAGAGTTGCAAAATCTTTCTTTAATTCTAGAACGAATAGTACATACAATTTATAAATAGGGATGGCTTCTCACAAACTGTTTTGCAAGGTCATTAACAGTCACGGGCAAGAAAAAAATAAAAGAAGGGAATTTGTTCTAGTGTCTTGACAGTGACATTGGGTTGGCACCCCTGTTTTGCCCTGCAGTTGTGGACAGAGATCAGGGTGCCTGTTATCTACTCTCCCAGGCTTAGGTTGTTTCAGTTTGCAGGTTGTCCGGCGAGATGACTTTCGCTTCTTGTTTCTGACTTGGATGGAGGCTCTGAGGATGACCTCATCCCATTACAATTCAGAGGAACTGTGCTGGTGAGAACAGGGCTGCTATTCCCTAGTGATAGTCCATTTTCACATCTCATTCATAATTGAAGGGAGGGAGGATCATTTTTTGCCCATTATAGGCAGTGGTTACATCAGATCTCCAGGGGCATACCAAAGGCCTCCTATTGTTGCAACTTAACAACTGTAACCTAGTCTCCTGACAAGATCTGCCTTCCCTTGAAAAGTGCAGATTGCAGGAGGGAGAAAAGAGGATAGGGCTAAGTTCCCAACCCAGAAAAGTGAACGGGAGAAACGTTGCTGCCTTCCCACCCTAAAAGACTGTCACCAAAGTTTCTGGACTCATCTGTTCAGATGTGACCACACACTATACTTACTCTTGGATTTCTGATACATCTTTCAAAGTCTTCTGTGTGACTTGCTCTGACAGAAAGTATTAGCAGGCAGAGCTGATGGCAGTACATAGGGATGGAGTGAGCCTGGTTTGAAAGTATCGTTTACATGCTGACGTTCATTATTACCACTTTATGTTTGTACAGGTGGTTCCAGAAAAGAAATCACTGAACACTGGGAATGGCTAGAGCAGAATCTGCTGCAGACACTTTCCATCTTTGAAAATGAGAACGATATCACCACATTTGTAAGAGGAAAAATACAGGTAGTACTCTATTTATTTTATGTATTTATTTTTATTAACATATAATTAACTTGCCACACTGTGTTAGTTCTAGATACACAACACAGTGATTCAGTATTTCTTAAGTTAGTGGAATTTAAGACAACAACTTTTCACTGGGAAGAATTTTAAACTTACAGAAAAATTGCAAAAGTAAGAAGTGTGTAAAACATACCTGGAGATCCTTTACCCACATTCTTCTGTTATTAACAGTTGACCACATTTACTTTATCATTTGTGGGAGACATTGAAAAGCATCAGTAAGCTTAGAAAACATGGCAGCTTCCAAATTAAAAAAATATATATATTGTTGAATAATGGAGAGCTTTGCTGATAAAACCAATCAGATTTGATAAATCTTCCTTTGGTTTGAGTCATGTGTCTGAATTTCTGGGAATTTAATTTAAGTGGGGGAGTCTGAGGACTCCTAATTTGATCCTATAGGAGGGGCTGGGTGAAAGCGGGCAGCGGTTGGTGGGGAAACAAAGGCAGGAGGGGTCTTCTCCTTCCAGGAACCACTGCTGAGGTTCTCAGTTACCTTTTCGTTGTTGTTGTTGTTCAGTCTTTCACTTGTGTCCAACTCTTTGCGACTCCATGGACTGCAGCACGCCAGGCTTCCCTGTCCTTCACTATCCCCCGGAGTTTACTCAAACTCATGTCCATCGAGTTGGTGATGCCCTCCAACCATTTCATCCTCTGTCTCCCCCTTCTCCTCCTGCTCTTAATCTTTCCCAGGATCAGGATCTTTGAGTCAACTCTGCATCAAGTGGTCAAAGTATTGGAGTTTCAGCTTCAGCCTCAGTCCTTCCAGGGAATATTCAGGATTGATTTCCTTTAGGATTGACTGATGTGATCTCCTTGCAGTTGAAGGGACTCTCAAGAGTCTTCTCTAACACCACAGTTCAAAAGCATCAATTCTTCGGCACTCAGTCTTCTTTACGGTCTCTCAACATCCGTACATGACTACTGCAAAACCATAGATTTGACTGTGCAGACCTTTGTGGGCACAGTGACGTCTCTGCTTCTTAATATGCTGTTCTAGATTTGTTATAGCTTTTCATTGTCCTTCCTCGGGTGTTACTGTCTTTGGGAAATAGGCACAAATCAAAAGTGGTAGGAAGAACATTAAGAGAAATAAATAAATAAAGCAGGAGCAAATTCTGGGTCAAATAGCCATTCTTTTTACCATTTTCATTACATCAAAAATGTCAGATTTAATTCCCCTGAAACCAATTATGAGAAAGGAATTTCTATTAATGCAGTTATGTGTGAAAATCACTTGTGCACATAGAAGGTTTAAGCACCCACAGATTGTCCAGTAATGAAGGGAACCAACACATTTATTTGTTTTGCGACCTAATTAACTTTTAAAAATTATAAATGTTATAATCAACTGCAGAGGCAACCATAATCCAAACACCTTAGATAACTTTTGTTTTTTCTTTTTAGATTTCTTATATGTGTATTTATCCTAATAGAAGTCTGACTATACATATAACTTTGTATCATGTCTTTTATCTCCGATATCTACTATATTGTTGTATAACTTCAGCTGATATTATAATAACTGAATATTACTCCATAACTGACCTTACTATTCTCCTTATATAAGTCTCCCTAGCTTTTAGACTAGTGGGAGTCAGGTACAAACAATAATACAGTGAATACTGCTGTTCATATGTAACTTTTCTTATAGTTTTTCTCCTTATCAGGATAGATTACAAAATGTTGGTTAATGGGTTAAGTAAGTTTAAATGCTTTTAATGGACATTAATAGATATTGTCAGTATGTTAGAATCCCTGTGCGATTATACTGTTGCTTGCTTTCAGCATTATAATTGTTTAAGTAGTTTAGTAAGTTTAGTAGTTTAGTAAGTAAAAGTCGGTGTCTTATTGTTTTCAGTTTTCTGTCTTTGATTATGAGTTTGAATATTTTTCCATGTTTGCTAAGTTAATGTTCCCCTTTTTATGAACTACCTGTCAGTGTCCTTTGTGTATTCAAATTTGTATTGGGTGTCCTGAATATTTGGATTGTAGCAATTTTACAGGATTACATGGAGCTGTTGCCTGGAACAGGGGTGACCTATTTCATATTATGTAGAACCTATAGAAGAGATATACCCTGGTGGGTCAAGTAGTAAGGAGTACACCTGCCAATGCAGGAGATGCGGTTCGATCCCAGGATCGAGAAAATCCCCTGGAGGAGGGCATGGCAAACCAGTCTGATATTCTTGTCAGGGAAATCCCATGGACAGAAGAGTCTGGCAGGCTATAGTCCATGGTGTCGCAAAAGAGTCAGACATGACTGAGCAACTAACCAGCAGGAACAACACAGAACTTACAGGAAGGACATCATTCCATCCCTTTGTTCTGGCCCACCTGGCTAAAGTTACAGTAATCTGAAGAGATTCTGCATTGTGAACCCTCTTTTTTTTTCTTGAAGTTGGGAAAGTTAAAAGTGGAACTTCAGGGATTATCATCCTTCTTGTTGAAACTAGTTAGTGAGGCCTGGTCTGTTGATATTCGTGTGTTTTAGTGATGTTTTTCACTTCTTTGTCCTTATAAATCCTCTCATATCTAAAGGAATTTTTCTTTTTAAAATTTCAATGAGCATTCTAGATATGTAGTACTTATTAGTTCTTTAGATAGCATGAAAAAGTGGAAGTGTTAGTCTCTCACTCATGTCAGACTCTTTGCGACCCCATGGACTGTAGCTTGCAAGGCTCCTCTGTCCATGGAATTCTCCAGGCAAGAACACTGGAGTTGGTAGCCATTGCCTCCTCCAAGGAATCTTCCCAACCCCAGGGATCGAATCCAGGTCTGCCGCGTTGCAGGCAGGTTCTTTACTGCCTGAGTCACCAGGGAAGCCCCTTAGATAGTGTAGTTTGAATTCATCTTCTTCCTCTCTAAAATACGGGTGTCACTTGGTTTGTTCTACATTGCTCTTTTCTAGTATTCTTCTGGCTTCAGGTCAGAGCCTTGCTACAGGGGAGTGGACATTAGGCTTGAGGGTCTCCATGCTCGTGGTTGATTGGCCATTGGCGTTGCCTAAGGACCCAACTGCAACTGCATATTAGTTCTCATTCTGTCCCTTTCATCTATTCACTCATTCATTTCCTTTTTCATTCTTACATATTTTTGGTTCCCCTTCTGTGAAGGCATTGATAACTTTGAAGTGTCATATAGGTCCAATTTCTACCTCTGTGTCTCTATTCCTGCCCTGCAAATAGGTCCATCTGTCCCATTTTTCTAGATTCCATGTGCTATGCTGTGCTTAGTCGCCCATTTGTGTCTGACTCTTTGCAACCTCATTAGCCTGCCAGGTTCCTCTGTCCATTCTCCAGGCAAGAATACTGGAGTGAATTGCCATGCCCTCCTCCAGGGGATCTTCTCAACCCAGGGATCAAACCCAGGTCCCCCGCATTGCAGACACATTCTTTACTGTCTGAGCCACCAGTGAAACCCAAGAATACTGGAGTGGGCAGCCTGTCCCTTCTCCGGGGGATCTTCCTGACCCAGAAATCAGACTGGAGTCCCCTGCATTGCTGGCGGATTCCTCACCAGCTGAGCTACCAGGGAAGTCCCTAGATTCCGTATATAAGCCTTAATATACGATATTCACTTTTACCCTTCCAACTTACTTCACTCTGTATAACAGACTCTAGATTCATCCACATCATGGCAAATGACCATATGCTTCTTTTTATGGCTGAGTAATATTCCCTTGTGTATATGTATTGTGCATCTTCGTTACCCATTCATTTGTCAATAACCTAGAGGGGTGGGACAGGAAGGTGGGAGCAAGGCTGAAGAGGGAGGGGGATATATATATCCCAAAGCTGATTAGTGGTGGTGTACCGCAGAAAATAACAGCCTGGTAAAGCAATTATACTGCAACGGAAAAGAAAGACATGTCACAAAGGCTGCAGATGCATTTGCCAGTGTAACCGGTGTTTTCATCCGTCTTCTCTCTGAACGGGGTTCTCCTCCTCCCCACCCAGACGTCTAGGGCGCTCATGCTCCCTGCTGGTTGTCTGCGGCTCCTTGGAATAGCACGCCACCAAAGCCCGCTTACGCCCAGAGCAGGTCCGAAACGTGTCCTCCCTGGCTTCCACCGAAGCAGCATCTCTATTCTCTCGGTGGAGCGGTACCAAAAGTAACCAGCGGGGACACCCTTATCGTAAGAGACTCTGAGGGAAGCACATTGCTGCTTCCAGTGCCATTCAGCCCTCCCACGAGACAGAACAGGAGTCGGCAACTTGGTACTTAGTTTTCCAAATTGGTTTTGCTAACTCTTAAACAATTTTAGACTTAGAAATCTGTGATTCTGGAGATCACAATGAAAACTAAGATAGGTCCCCTTAAGATACATGTTTATTTGGAAAGACAACATATACTCTTTTTTTGTTTGTTTTTTAATCTTATTTATTTATTTTTGGTTGCGCTGGGTCTTCATTGCTGTGTGTGGACTTTCTCTAGTTGAGGCAAGAGGGGGCTACTTGTTGTGGTGCAAGGGCTTCTCATCACAGTGGTTTCTCTGGTTGCAGAGCATGGGCTCTGGGTATGCGGGCTTCATTAGTTGTGGTGTATAGGCTTAGCTGCCCCTCGGCATGTGGAGTCTTCCCAGACCAGGGATCGAACTGGTGTCCCCTGCATCGACACTGGACCTCCAGGGAAGTCCCAACGTATACTCTTCGAATAATTTTTTTTTACTATTAAATATCTCTTAGGTGCTAGCTGCTGTTGGTAAAAACTTTTTGAGACATTCTGTTTGAAAGACATATTTAGTGGTTGGGGGACATATACCCAAAATACTTTCAGCCAACATAGAAGTTAAGAGAACATAGGGACAAAAATGGTAGTGCTTATGCTGGACTGGGTTAGTTTCATAGAAAATGTGATATTTACACTGAACATGGAAAGGTTGATTTGGGCAGACCAAGAAGGGGTTCTTTGTCACAAGATGAAGATTGGATTTTTCTCCTCTTACACTGATAGACTGTGGACACTTTCATGGTGGAGATGCTGTTGTCAAATCTCTGTTTCAGAAAGTAGCTGTACAGAATATATCACAGTATAGAAAAACTCCTGATGGCATGCCCGTTGGGAAGCCACTGCAGTAATTCCTGGACTGTACAAAGGCACTAAGAGGTGGCTTCTTATCAGAATAGGCTGAAGACTTGTCCAGGGTTGTGTTTGCTGCTATGGTTGTTGTTTACATGTTTTTTTTTCACTAGCATTGTATGGTGATGGAGAGGGTGGAAGACAAAGCCCTCTCCCCCTCCCTCCTACCATCACTCCTTAGTACCACAGCTGCAGGCTACCGGAGTGGACAGTCTGGCAGTGAAAATAAAATTCAGGACATCATATGTATTAAACACATTTTAATACATCAGGCACAGAGGATCGATAGTACTTAATGTGAGGAAGAAGAGTTATAGTTGGGAGAAACGTTTGTAAAGAGGTGGGAATTAGACTGGATTTTGAGATTAGGTAGGATTAGTGATGGGTGATACAGTGGTAAAGAATCTGCCTGCCAATGCAGGAGACTCAAGAGGTGAGGGTCTGATACCTGGGTAGGGAAGATCCCCTGGAGGAGGAAATGGCAGCCCACTGCAGTATTCTTGTCTGGGAAATTCTATGGACAGGGGAGCCTGGCAGGCTATAGTAAATGGAGTCACAAAGAGTTGGACATGACTAAGTACACACAGAATTAGTGAAACAGACAACAGTCTTACTCTAGATTTTATGCGCTCAGAATGACAGAACCACAGGCAAGAAGGTGGAAAAGCATACAGATGACATATCCAGGCCCTGATTGTGCTTTGGATCTTGTCAGAGGCAGTGCAGTGAGAGCAAATGTTGCAGTGTTGGTTGGATCAAAAATGTGCATGGTCTAAAATATTGGATTCTACATGGTGATTGTAGGGAAACAGAATTTTGATAATAAGAATTTTGTAGTTATAGTAAGTTTGGAGAAGATATATTTGTAGGGAGCATCCAGAATTCACTGGAAGCCCAAAGGCAGGAATTCTAGGCATGAGGCTGCCCAAATTCACATGGATCTGCAGACATGGATCAAAACCCCAGACATCCATGCTCCAGAGCTCTTGTTTATCTCACCCTACCTTGTGAACAGAGAAAATGGAGATGAGGTAAGAGTGATTTGGTGATTACAAAGTCAAAGGTGGAATTCCAAGGAACATTTTTTCTTAGGAGATATATGTAGATGCCATTTTTCATTGAATTATGGAGGAACTGGGTAACAAACAGCCCCTCAAGCTGCTAAAATGATTAAGCAGTAGGTTAAGCCAGTTACTTGTCTTGCAGAGATCTTATTTCCTGTGCAACTGACCAAAAATTGTGTGTCTTATATAATTTCCACTCCAATATTCACCTCTTGGCTGCTCGTGTGGTGGCTTGTTCCTTTTATCCAGGTTCCTGATGTTTTTCATGGCCGAGAGAAGGTGGGTCTGTGGCTCATGTCAATTAATGACATGTGTTTTGGTCTTTCTTTCCTCTGCATTGATCTATGTTGCTGTTCGGAAATCTTTTAGTACATAAATGCTGCTTGTTAATTGGCTTAGGTTTGGGGAGTTGGCTTTGAAAATAATTCAATTTTTTAAAGTGTCCCTTAGAAGAAAAATTTTTCCCTTGCCAATGTGTACATCACACGGAAAAGAAACAGTTCTAGTCATAGTGATACAAGGTGTGCATTTGTGCTTTATCCCTTCTTAGGGCATCATTGCAGAGTATAACAAAATCAACGATGTGAAGGAAGATGACGACACAGAGAAGTTCAAGGAGGCCATCGTGAAGTTCCACCGGCTGTTTGGAATGCCCGAGGAGGAGAAGCTCGTCAACTATTACTCTTGCAGCTACTGGAAGGGGAAGGTCCCCCGACAGGGTTGGATGTACCTCAGTATTAATCACCTTTGCTTTTATTCTTTTCTGATGGGAAGGGAAGGTGAGTCCTCTAGAATTTCAGAGGGAAGCTTTTGAAAGTCTGCTGAGGTTTTTGCCTTCCTGAATGTATCAACAGTAGTAAATCTGCAGTTGTAACTGATTTGTGATGACTAAACAGTTGAATTCAATCATTTTTGGCTCAGTTGCTGTAAACTGCTTGATCGGGAGATAATAAAAATTCACCAAAGGTATAATTCATTTAGTAGACATGGACTTAAATCCGTAATAATCATAACTCAGAATGTTTGTGGTCCAGATTTGTCTTTTGAAACTAACAAGCAGAATAATAATAAATATAAGCACATAAGCCCATAGGAGTTCCATGAAATTGGAGGGTGGTGTTGTGAGATTCCAGTATTTTGAAAGGATTTTAAGGAGCCACATGTTGACCCAGCCTCGTTCTCTGTGCTCAGCCAAGCTGGTCATCCGGTGGGTGGACATCACTCAGCTCGAGAAGAACGCCACGCTGCTTCTACCCGATGTGATCAAAGTGAGCACAAGGTCCAGCGAGCATTTCTTCTCTGTATTCCTCAACATCAATGAGACCTTCAAGCTAATGGAGCAGCTCGCCAACATTGCCATGAGGCAACTCTTAGACAATGAGGGCTTTGAACAAGATCGATCCCTGCCCAAACTGAAAAAGAAATCTCCTAAGAAAGTGTCTGCCCTAAAACGGTAGGTGACAGAGACCTGAAGTCTTACGGACTTTAGAAACAAGAACCCATCTGTTCATTTATGAAAGTTAACCTTTCCTGAACAGCTTCAAGGGTTCAGAACACTTTTCTGGGTATAGATACAGAACTGAGAAAGCCTGCCTAAAGCACTCACAGTTCAGTAAGTGAGGTGGACATGACCAGCTCCAGCACTATAGGATGGGACCTCTTTTGGTGCTGAGAGCAGAACACCATGAGTACACACACAGGGAATGATGGGCAGAGAAGGACCTCTCCATGAAGCTGCTCAAAGCTGGGCTCTCAAAATTACTCAGTCAGAGTCAGTAGGATGGATATTACTTTAGACATATTATTTCAGGCAGAGGGACAATATGATAAGGGAAACACAAGGGAAAAGAGGAGAGGAAGCTCGTCAACACTTAAGGAAGGTGGCTGGGCATGAGATGAGGCTATGCTACAGAGAAGCCCAGAAGTCTGGATGTGAGAGCGAAGGCCTAGAGAGAAGGCAAGGGGAAAATCGATGTTCTAACGTGTGATGGTATGCATGGAATCACCCCTAACTGAGATGGGGACGAGGGAAGGGAGAGCCTGTCCAAGGGATATGAGGATTCAGTTTTGATCACATTGAGTTGAGTTGCCTTCAGGGTGTCTAATGAGACACCAGTTCAGTGGGATAAACGGAATTGGCCATCATTGGTCATTGAAACCCGACGAGGTCACTGCAGTGAAAACGCCTTTGGTGATTTGAGACATGTTTTGATAGACTGACAAGAAGATGGGTTACTGTGGTGGGCTGAATGCACATAGAAGGCAAGGCAAGGGAATTAGGTCAGTACAGACTGCTTTTTCGAGAAATTCAATGGTAAAGTAGGGGGTTTGCTCTCTTTTAGAATGAAAACATTTGAACAGAAGGTAGTATGAAGTAGGCAGGTGGGAAGAGTTTGTTGATGAGGGTAGCACAAGGACAGAAGGGAGCATGGAGATAAAATAGAAGAAAATGAATAATTTAAAAAGTGGCATCTTGGACTTCCCTGGTGGGCCAATGGTTAGGACTCTGTGCTTCCAGTGCAGGGAGCTCGGGTTCAATCCCTGGTTGGGGAATTAAGATCCCAGATACCAAGCAAAGTGACAAAAAAAAAAAAGATCTCACAGCATGCAGAAGGATGCTTGTGTGTGCTGATACCTCTCCCTTTGAAACAGGTAAAAGAAGAAGGAGGAGGTGAGGCTGGAGGTAGTTTTAGAGATAGAAGGGAGGGAACTGGAGAGCCTGTCTTTGCCTTGTGAAGACAGAAACTGGATCATCAGGGGCTGAAGTGGCCTAAAAGCTTGAGCAAAGATGTTTAAATGATGAACGGGAAGAAGGAACTCATCAGAGAAAAGATCATGGCCACTGGAGGACCCAGCTGAGGTTAGACACTCTGGTTGTCCAGGAGGTGGGTTGTTCCTGTGTTTCAGGAAGTTTTATTGTTTATTCAAGGTGACCACTGACAGCCTGCAGGTTCATGTGGCTTATGTTCGTCCTCATTAGGTAATTCGTAAAAGATAAGGCCCCAAGAGTGGCTGTGGGTGAGTGTAAATGTAACCATCTCTTTAGAAATTACTGCGTTCTTTTAGAAAGAGAATTATTTCCGGTCCAGGCCTTGTTTTCCTAGATTCTTTGTTTTCCAAGATTCTTTGACAATTACAGATACTGATTGTAAAATGCCCACACAGGGGACCTAAATATATTAAAATGATTTCACTATGCTTTTGGGTCATCGTTGGAGTTAACTCCAGAAGAAAGCCAAGAAGGTAGAAAAAAATCTGACAAGGTGGAAGGGAAAGATGGGCCGGGAAATCTCTGTGGCCACATCATTGAGAGGTACTCATACTTTTCTCTTGTGGGGTGAGTCATTACTGTTGTTTTCCAGTGATCTGGACGCCAGGGCCAAGAGTGAGAGGTACCGTGCACTCTTCCGGCTGCCCAAAGATGAAAAATTAGATGGCCACACAGACTGCACCCTCTGGACTCCATTCAACAAAATGCACATTTTGGGGCAGATGTTTGTGTCCACGAACTATATCTGCTTCACCAGCAAGGAGGAGAACCTGTGTAGCCTCATTATCCCACTGCGAGAGGTATGTGGCAGGTGGAAATGGGTGTTTTAAGAGTTTTATTGGTAATCCTTTTGTGTGTATCTTATCTTACCTTTCTGTGTATCATCACTGAGTTGGCTTTTAACCGTGGGTGAGCGTTCATAATTCTTTGGTGGCATCTGCCACTCTTTTATGCGTTGTCATCACTGCGAATGACCATGGGACCTGCAAGGTGTCTTCCTCTAGAAGCAGACTGGTAGTTTATTCTTGTTCAGGTAAGGTGAGATCAACAGAGCAGGAGATGACTGTCCTTGAAAATATGCTGGTTATACTCATGGATCCCATCGGGGGTGCACGTCATGCTAGAGGGCCCACAGGGGGACAGCCCCAGGTGGGTCAGCAGACAGGAGCAGGGAAAGATGTGGACTGGAGTCTTTATTGTGATTTCCATGGGAAGAAACAGGTGAGACAGGATAAGCAGGCTTGGGATTGGCAAGTTGAAAAATTCCAGCAGGCTCTAGGGCAGAGGCCCTGTCCCTAATTGTCTGGTTCCTGGCCCTGGGGTGACAAGGGCAGGATGAATAGGGGCCCTGAGTGTGAGAGCAGGTGAAGGAGGTCGTTGGGGTTTGGATTGGTTGGTTTGCTTGTGAGAGGCCTTCTTACAGGTGAGTCCTTTACTCTCTCCAGGAGTTGGGCAACTCTGGGTCAACACGGCCCCGGGATGTGAAAACATCAAATAGAGAAACTAGAAAGTGTAGTTACCACTCCTGGCCCACAGCCTGAGCATCTTGACCTTTAGAGAGGTGGTCTAGGTTGTGAATCAGAAAGTCAAGATCTGTCTAGTTTGTTGGTTCCCTCTGTTAGAACCAGCGGGACCACTGGCCGCAGTGGCCAGATCTGTATCTCTGCAAATTTTGGAGTCTGTATTTTAATAAAGTTCCAGGCTGATGCCCATGGACAGGGAAGACTGAGGAACATTATTATTGTACCTGGGTTGGACGTGGGTTCTCTCGTGTCTTCACAGTGATAGGTTGTTCTGGTACTTGTGGAGAAGCCTTGCTGTTGGGGATTGAGAAGAAATTCCAGGTTAGGATGTCCAGGGCTGGCAGATCCGCAGTTTCTAACCTGGCTGCTTTCAGCCTGCTTTGGTCCTTTCCTAGAAATTAAGATGCTTAGCTTTGGCTACTTAATCACGGTTGAGCCTTTGATAAGATTTCCTACTGCAAAGGATTCAAGTTTCTCTTTGCCTTACTTTCTTTTTTTAAAAAAAATAATCATTTATGTAAGCAATTTTTTTTTCTTGTTTGCATTGTTATCACAGAAAATTATTAAAATACAGACAAATAGAAAGAAAACAAAACTCATCCCTAGTCCCACCATTCAGAAATGACCACTGTGAACATCCTATTAAATAGTTGTTCAGGCTTTCTATGCATTGCTGTGTATATTTCATTTATATTATTTAAGTATAAAGAAATAATGAACTTTATTTTTTGTTTATTTCTCTTAACAGTGAGTGTGCACTAAACTTAGTTCCATATCATAAAGTATTCTTTTATAACATTTAATGACTGCATATTATTCCATTACTGGATATGTATAATTTATTTCTTCTTATTTAGTTTGTCTTTGGTTGGACCTTTGCATTATTTTTCTTTCGTTTCCTCCCAATCATATGTATAATTTTCCTTAAAGTATAAATTCCTAGAAGTTTAATTGGTGGATTAAAATGAATGCAAAGTGTTAGACAATGGAAAATCTAGTTTTCTTTCTTATAGGGTAAGCTCATTGGTATTATAACACATGTGGAGGCCAGGAATTACTGGGGGTGAATTCTGAGATGGATGGTTGATCAGTACTTAGAATTGGCTCTGAAATGTGTCTCATGACTTTTTCCAATAAGCTTACCCTCTTTATCTTAGGGAGTTACTAAACTCTGTGTGTGGCGGTGGGGTTGGGGGTGCGGTAACTGACATCACGTACTAGTTTCAGGTTAACATAGTAGTGATTTGATATTTGTATATATTATATAATGATCACTATGATAAGTCCAGTTAACATCTATCACCATTCATAGTATGCTATTAAAGTCCGCTATTAAAAATGTTCTTCATCAAGTACTATGAACAAAATAAAGCAGAGTGACCTGGACCCACTAGGGAAACCCATCCTGGGATTAAGAATATACTGAGTGTATCATTTATAAATCCGAGTGAGTCATCACTTTGTTTTTCCAAAGGTAACTGAGGAACAGAGGGGCTGGAGGCTGCCACCCCACATCTGCTCCCCTCTTCCCTTCCTCCTGGTTCATTTTAGTGTGATCTACAATAGGATTGTGAGAGCTTGGAGGAGTTACTCCTAACTCCTTGGTGGTTAATATCCTCAGCCCATCTTGTGCTTACTAGTTTTCCCTAACAAGTCAGTAGGGCAGAGATAATTCAGGCATATTTCAGGATAAGTCAGAAGATGGGGGAGGATAGTATAGGTGGCATTTAGAGGAAAAATGTGTTGTGGTCAGAGGGTGAGGCTTGAAAGAAACCCCCAATGAGACAGCAGTGCTGTTTTTTACCCCAGTGAATCACTGAGATGTATTAATGGTAAATCCTAAACCTCAACTAATGGAAGAAGCAAAAGACTTGCATTTATTCCTACTCCAGGTTTTATAATGACAACAATGCACTAGGGCAGGGCTCCCACCCCCTATCCAGGTCTGTTTGAGCAGAGAGTAATTTCTCCATGAACTGAGTTAAGCTGATTGATCAGTAGGAGCTTCAAGGAACCTTGCATCCTCCTTGGAACAGCTCCTTTTGGAATTGTGTAGACTAGGGATTGCTGTTGTATTTCATTTTTTATAAATAAGTGGAAATATTGACTGGAGATTGTTAATATACATTCTGCATGCAGACTAAAGGTAGAGTAAATCGACACATGTTAAATGTTTACACAGTATCATGTTGCTGTAGATTTTAAAGAAAAGTTTGAACTAGCAGCAAGAGGATAAAGTGATGAGAGTCCTCACTAGCATTTCTAGATGTAGTCTCTCTTCTTTTTTTCAATTATAAATTACCTTGTAAATGTTCCATATGAAGCACCAAGATTTGATTAAATTCAAGCTATCTTACAATTGTAGTTGGTGATGAAAATGTGTCTCATTGTGTAGAACATTCCAGTGAAGCTATTACCCTTTCCTGGAGGTGCAGAGTTTCAGGGGTAGAATTCTACCAGAACTCATTTGTCAGTGAAAAATACACGCTAACTCGTGGGAAGCTGCCTAGGGTTTCTGTAGGTGCTTTCTTGCTGTCTCTGTATTCATGATCCTGCTAGATACTAGACTTCCATGCAGATTTCATCATGAGCACATGGTATCTGTGTTTTAGGTACAGAACTTGAACCTTTCATCCTCTTGGTATCTTGTCATTAATTGCAGATGCCTGGTGACTAAAACAATCAGAAAAAATCTGTTGGGAGAAAAGGAGCTTTTATCCGTCTTTTAAAATAAGCATTGTTTAACATATGTCTGAGGTATCATGGGAAAATCCTTTTCTTGATAAAGAAGTTGGCTTCCCCCTCTCCCCCTTACCCTCACCAATTTCTCTAGCTTCCTTAGCTTTGGAGGAAAAAACTCTTAGGTACAACTATACATATCTCAGAATATTCCTTGAAAAATGTATGAATATATATCTAACTTGTACATGTTTATAAAAGCTGAGAACAGAACTCAAGTCCTGCAGTTTTTCCCTTTATGGACCCCAGTAATACCTGTTTTGCACTTGTGACCCTGCAACTTTTTAGGCAATTACAATAGGTTACTTAGCCTTGAAAGGGAGAAAGGTTTTTAAAGTTCTGCTCAGAGGAAGTGTCTTTCACATGAAAATGCTGATGCAGAGGTTGAAGTTGAACCTGTCTAGACTGCTTACAGTGGAAATGAAGATAGGAAAGAAACTAAACTCTTAAGTACACAATCAGCACTGCTGCAAATAAACCATTTATCTAGAGCTGGCCTTGAGATTTTTCTTCCTAATGTGCTAATGAAAAGAGTTGTAGTGCATTTATCTTAGTTTCCAGTTGATGAAAATCCTATTATAAACCAGCAAATATATGCCATCATTTCAAAGCTGAAACACATGTCCCTTATTTTTACTTTTCTCCTGATGTGGTAGACTTACTTTACTACAAATACAGATATGCACAAATACTTACTTTACTACAAATACAAATACGCACAAATAACACACACACACACACACACACACACGCAGTCAGCCCGTGCAGATAGGGTTGCAATTAAGCTGTTTACGTCATGTCTGCTCAAAATCAAGCCTTTAAAACTTTGAAATGGTAAGAGGTGAGGAATGCAAAGCCCTGGAGTCTAAACGAGACATTTGAAGGATTGGTGGTGTTTTAAAAGCCATGTCCACATTAAGCTAATAAAAGGACCCAGTATCGTGGGTTGTTTCTCTCCCTTAGAGATGAAGCACCAGCTAAGAGTCCTCCCTCTTAAAGTTCCATAAAATTTTAATGAAAGTCAAAGAATTTCTTCACAACAAGGTTTCTCAGCCTTGGCACTGTTGACATCTTGGGCCGTGCTGTGTTGGGGTGGGCTGACTTGGGTCCTGCGCCCTGCACGATGTTTAGCTTCATCCTTGACTTCCACCCGTGAGATGCCAGTGGTACCCTCCACTTGTGACTTCCAGAAGTGCTTCTAGATGTTGCCAAATGTCTCCTGGGGCTGGGATGGGGACTCACTCTTGATTTATAACTTCCAGCAAGATAATTTCAGTTCCAGTTTCATTAGTTCTGAGCTGTTTTCTTTTATTGGGACAACGTTCAGGAATCTCACCTTGCCTCAATGAAATACAGAGGTTCCTGTTGAGATTGAGTCCACTTCTTTCTCCAGTGCTCAGCATCTTCAGTGCTCAGAGGTTGCCGTCGGGTGATCCCTGGGAAGTAATGCTCTTGGTGGCCTGTTTCTTTCCAGGTGACTATTGTAGAGAAAGCAGACAGCTCCAGCGTGCTCCCCAGTCCTCTGTCCATCAGCACCAGGAACAGGATGACCTTTCTCTTTGCCAACTTGAAGGACAGAGACTTTCTGGTGCAGAGGATCTCTGACTTCCTGCAACAGACGACCTCCAAAATATACTCAGACAAAGAATTCGCAGGAAGCTACAACAGTTCGGATGATGAGGTCGGTGGAAGGCACCTGCAGGTTTGGTTCATCCTATTTCTCTTCCCTAGGAAGTGTTCACCTCCTGGTCTGTTTTGTTTGATCTTGAAGCTTTGCAGCTATGCTGAGATGAACCAGCTACTCTGATGTCCAGAGCGGACATCTCATTTACGTCTCATAGTGTTTGTATTTAGGATCATAGAATTGGACATCTAATCTCACCCTCTTCTTTCACCGTTGAAGGTGTTATGAAGTGATTTAACCTGATTACATAGCAAGTGACTCTGGTCTAAGTGACTCTGTTGGGAATTATACAGAGGTCACCCAGTAAAGTCTCAAATCTGAAATGCAATATCATTATGATGATTTTATTATGATACAATATGAATTGTGTCCCTATTGAATTAGGCTCTGAACCCACATCCAGGGAAACTGGGCCCTGAAAGATACATGATTAGCTCAAATGATGAAGTGACTTGCAGTGAAAATACGTTGTAAAGCTGGTGAGCTCCTGTTTACCTGCCCTAAGCTTCTGTGGGCATTTTTGAGGCACCAGAAACAGATAGATAGGAGGCGAGGGGGGAGGTCCCATCAGCAGTTGATTCAACCACGTCATGCTTTGCATGTATACTAATCAGAGAGGTAAGTGTCCAACCAGTTTGTTGTAAAAATGAATCTAAAATACAGAGGAGGCATTTCCCTGGTAATCCAGTGGTTAAGACTCCATGCCTCCAATGGAGGGGATGCAGATTCAATCCCCGATTGGGAAACTTAAGGTCCTTCATGCTACGGACCACAGCCAAAAAATAAAATACAGAGGAAACCTATTAGGAAGATTGAAGCTCTGTGGCGCATGATCCCATCTAATTCTCACCAAAATGCTGGCTTGCTGGCTTCCTCCTGCTACATCGCCTAGCAAGACACCTCCTGGGAACCATGGTGAAGCTATTAGTGTCTGTCCAGAGGACAGTCAGGTGGCTCTTTGGTAAAGAACCTGCCTGCCGATGCAGGAGACATGGGGTTTGGTCCCTGGGTCGGGAAAATGACAATCCACTCCAGTATTCTTGCCCGGAAAATCCCATGGACAGAGGAGCCTGGCGGGCTACAGTCCATGGGGTCTCCAGGAGTAGGACCCGACTGAGCACAAAAAGGTGGAGGAGAGGATGTTGAAGAAGTAGATTCTGCAGCTCTAACCGTCCCCGCCTCTCGGTGCTCTGCCTTGGCAGGTGTATTCCCGGCCCAGCAGCCTCGTTTCCTCCAGTCCCCAGAGGAGCACCAGCTCCGATGCTGACGGCGAGCGCCAGTTCAACCTCAATGGCAACAGTGTCCCCACGGCCACGCAGACCCTGATGACCATGTATCGGCGGCGGTCTCCCGAGGAGTTCAACCCGAAATTGGTGAGTGCCGCCTTCTCTTGCCTGGAATTTTCTGTATTAGAACAGGAATGTTTTTTTTTTTTTAATCTTTTAAAATAAACTCATCAATGCATCACTGGACAGTTTTCTACAAGTGAAGGATATTTTTTAAAAAATACAAATGATATATAAATATAACATACAATGACATATTTGTATGTCATCGGGGTTTCAGAGTGGCTTCATTGTGAAAGGAGATGGGTCATGTACTTCTATATGCAGGTGACATTTTTTAGTTTTGTGTTTTAACTGTTGCTTAAGTAACCAACAAGTAAGTACATAATGTCTCAGCCCACGTTTAACAAACATCCACTCTGTTGCACTTGGAGGTGTAGACATAAAGCTGTAAGTAACATTTGCATTCTCCTGACCCACCTCAGGGAAGTGGCATTCTGACTCCGGGCCAGAAAGCTGCATGGCAGATCCACAGGCTCTGATATATGGGTCAGGTCACAGAAGGTCTTCAGAAAATATGAGTTCTTTGTTCTCATAAATTCTGTCCGGAACTTACCAGCTCCATTCTCCAGGGAAAATGTTCTGACTTTCTGTCAAACTTGTCCTGACCATTCTCGAACTACTTTGGGTGTAATGATGCTACATCATCCCTTTCAGGCCAAAGAGTTTTTGAAAGAGCAAGCCTGGAAGATTCACTTTGCGGAGTACGGGCAAGGGATCTGCATGTACCGCACGGAAAAGACCCGGGAGCTGGTGCTGAAGGGTGTCCCTGAGAGCATGCGTGGGGAGCTCTGGCTGCTGCTGTCCGGTACGGGGGGGCTGGAGTGGGAGCACTCCTCCGAGTGTGGGGAGCCTGGGGCTGCCCTCAGCCATCCATCGTGCATCAGGGCTATTTCAAATATGCAACCCCCAATTCAACCCAGGGGCCTAATTTCTAATCGGTGAAGTGCAAATCAATTTACCCTGTCATTACATATGTGTGTGTCTGTATATATGCATGTGTGCTGAGTCGCTTCGTTGTGTCTGCCTTTTTGCAACCTCATGGACTGTAGCCTTCTAGGCTCTTCTGTCCATGGGATTCTCCAGGCAGGAATATGGAGTTTGGGGTTGCCATTTCCTACTCCAGGGGATCTTCTGGACCCAGAGATCAAAGCCAAGTCTACTGTGTTGGCAGGTGGATTCTCAAAACACTGTGCCATCTGGGAAGCCCATGTGTATATGCACACATATTTAACATATAAGTACCTATTTAATTATATAATATGTACATACATATGTGTGTGTGTACATAAACCTTATACTTAAATAAATTATATTTAACTAGATTCATAGTTGAGTGCTTGCATCCAGGGTCTGCCTGTCTTTAAGAATCATAACATGCAGATATGTCAAAGCAGGTGTTCTCACCCACGTCTGCATCCTCCTGCCCAGCACCGAGGAGCTCCTTTCCACAGCAGTGGCTGCCCACTGCCAGGAACGTGGCCCCTGCCCCCTGCAATTCTGAAAATCCCTCTTCATCCTTCCTCCTACTCTTCAGTATGGCTCTTTGTGAGCCCTTCATAATTTCAGCTTTTAAACTTGTTTTGAGAGACAAAGCATCCCTTTTCAAGTGAAATCATAAGGAAAACCCCGATAAAACGCAAGCAAGGCTGCTTGGTTGGGGAACTGAGATGGCTGAGGCTTCCGCTTGGCTTTCTCTGCCCACTTCCCTGTTCTTCTCTGAGCAGCCCCTTTGGGTTGTCTGTGGAACACAGTTTTTAGGTTGGAAGCCTCTACCTTAGGGAGGATTTTTTGTTTGTGTGTGTGTAGGGAGGTTTTTAAAAAATTCACTATTTTTTTAAAATTGAAGTATAGTTTTACAGTACCGTTAGTTTCAGATGTATAGCATACCCACTCATTGTCTTTTTTTCTGATGATTTTGCCTTATAGGTTATTACAAGATATTGACTATAATGCCCCGTGCTATACAGTAAATCCTTGTTACTTCTCTGTCGTCTGACTGGTAGTTTGTATCTGTCAATCCTATACTGTAGTTTGTCCCTCTCCCATCCTCTTCCCAGCTTTGGTAACCATAAGTTTGTTGTCTGTGTCTGTATCTACAGTCATTTGTACTATTGTTTAGGCTTCACATATAAGTGATATCACAGAGTGTGTGTGTGAGAGAGAGAGAGAGAACCACTCAGTTGTGTTCGCCTCTGCAATGGACTGTAGCCCACCAGGCTCCTCCGTCCATGGGACTCTCCAGGCAAGAATACTGGAGTGGGCAGCCATTCGCTCCTCCAGGGGAGCATAGAGTACAGGGAAGTTTTTAAGCTACCGGCTTCCAGTGGAGCAGGAAGAGGGAAGGGGGCCCGGGGTGAAGTTACAGTCTAGCTGGAGCTGTGACACGGGTCCTCACAGGAGGAAGGGGAAGGCCGGGTCAGGCAGCCATGATTACAGACCAAGGCCGGGACTCCCACCTTCTGATGCTGGGTCTGTTTGGTGTCTCCCAGGTGCCATCAACGAGAAGGCCACCCACCCTGGCTACTATGAGGACCTCGTGGAGAAGTCCATGGGGAAGTACAACCTTGCCACGGAGGAGATTGAGAGGGACCTGCACCGCTCGCTTCCAGAACACCCCGCTTTCCAGAACGAAATGGGCATCGCGGCTCTGAGGAGAGTCTTGACTGCTTATGCTTTTCGAAATCCTAACATAGGGTATTGCCAGGTGAATGTCACAGATGGGTAAGACTTAAAAAAAAAAAAAAGTTTTCTGCCAGCTGGTAAGTAATAAGAAAGGCTTTATGGGGGACTTCCCTGGTGGTCCAGTGGCTAAGATTCCACACTCCCAGGGGGCCTGGGTTCGATCCCTGGTCAGGGAACTAGATCCTGTATGCTGTCGCTAAGACCTGGTGCAGCCAAATGAATAAATAAATATTTCTTTAAAAAGAAGAAAGGCTTTATGGTTAAGACAGCAGTTGCTGCACCAGGGTCTCTCGACCTTGGTACTGTTGGCATTGTGGACTGAATAATTCTTTGTGTGGGGCTGTCCTGTGCTTTGGGGAATGTTTAGTTAACATTCCTGCTTAATAACATGTTTAATAGCATCTTCTCATGAAATGCCAGTGCTCCCCACTTGTGACAACTAAATGTTTTTAGACCTTGTCAGATCTCCTCTGGGAAGCACGGTCTCCCAGAGCAGAGAAACACCGCCCTGAGCAGAGGAGCCAAGGGATAAGAGTGCCCTTTCTGGATCCACCACCGTCTGGTGGCCTGGCTGGTCACTAACTGGTCATGAGCATATCTGGGCCCCAAGCCTTTAACTCTGCATTCTGGGTTCCCCAGTGCTCCAACCCTTTGCAACTCCTAAGCAGATAATGTCCTTGAGAATGTAGCTGTTATATGCTATGGCTGTATTTTAAGGCCCACTAAAATAAATATGTAATTCACTATTTAAAAATGTTGCCCATATATCAACCACAATGATTGCTTGTGTATGTTAGTATGGATAGCACAATTTGGAAAGCTCTAAGATAGTGTCTTAGATTGATTTAGATTGAAAGGCCACATATGTACCCAGAGAGACCTTCCTTGACCATCTAGTTGAAACCTAAAGCAGGCTTAATTCCTCCAAACCTGTATACACACACGCATACACACATCCACGCAGATCACAGGTCTCCCTGTACGTGTTATCTTTTTGATAGCAGTTAATTTAAAATATACCTCCAAATTGATTAATCAACCTTTACATCTTTTTTCTCTCTCTGACCCCTGGATTTATGGCCTGTGAGATTTGTCACCACTCTGCCCCCTCCTTTTCCCCAGTACTTAGTCCAGAGCCTATTACCAAGTAGAGCCTCAAAAGAAACTTACCTTGAATGACTAAGAAACCAGCCATGACCATGACCATGTAGTAGGCAGGTTAATCCTCAAGTGGAATTTTAATGATTTCACTTGGGAACCTGTTGAGTCAGGCTTACAAGGAAGAGCCTATTAGACCAAAATTCCTTTTTCAACATTTATATTGTAGGAATCTGATGAACACTTACTTAACCGGTTTCTCAAGGATCAAAAGAAGTACAGGCGGGAGCTGGCTTCTAATATAATAGAGTTCATATTTATCTTTTGATCTTCCTCTTTTTAATTAAGAGGACTATTAAAGTAGTTGAGCCTTGAGTGCTTATGAGCTAGCTGATAATATCTTTTAATAAAGTAGATTACTTTAGAATTAAACCCGTTACTCATCACTACCATCCTCATCCAGTCGGAAATAATGGGCGAGGACTTCAACTTTGAAAGGTTTCATTGTTCCCTGAAGAGTGCCTCAAGCCCCGTGTAGTTGGTGATAGAAACAATTACGGAAGATTAAAAGGGAAATATTCACCTCACCGAATTAAGGATTACAAACACCGAGACTAATAGGTTAAAAGCTTTGTCAAATAGGCTTTGAATATAGTTTTTGAATGAGGATTTGTGGTCATGGGGGGCCCAGTCCTTGGTGCATATTGGTGTTCACGGAGCCCTTAACAGTTACCAGGCAAAAAAAAAAACAACAAAAAACACAAAACCCACAAAACATCAACAAACAAAAGCAAAACACTTAGCAGGCTGAAGTTCTGAGGGTTTTTACATTTTTTAAAACTCGTAAATAAAACAAAACTCAGAAGAATGTGTGTATGTAAAGCCTTTACATATTTATTATCTGTTCTTTTGTGGAAAAAGTGTGCTGGCTCCTTTGGGACTAACTCAGTTGTTATTCAGGTTAACAAAGTTGCTCATATGTTAAAATGTGTCTGATGTATTTAAAATGTATCTGATGACATCTTCTTTCATCCCTTTAGGCCATGAATATTGTCACATCCGTGCTGCTGCTTTATGCCAAAGAGGAGGAAGCTTTCTGGCTGCTGGTGGCTTTGTGTGAACGCATGCTCCCTGATTATTACAACACCAGGGTGGTTGGTATGTGAGGATGCAATTAATTTATAACCCTTATCTCATCAGGAAAATGTTTCTAGAACCAGGAAACCAGCTGTAACCCTATTTCCAGTCACCATTAGCCAAAAGAGTGTCAGACAACTCGTTTCCCAAAATGGGAATGAGAGGACTTGAATCAATATAGATTATACACAAAGGAGCACCATGGAGCTTCTCCCCATGGAAAGAATATACGTCTCACTGCTTTAGAAAATACTCAATGTGGGTGTCTGTGGCATGTGAGAGCTACACCAGGCACACAGATCATCAGTCCCAAAATAGTGCTTTCATGAAGAGCTTGGAATCTATGGAAAGCAGAAGGATTCAAAAAAGGAGTGGGCAGAATAGCATATAAAAATATATTCAGAGTTCAGTTTCTAAGGTATTTTTCAGAACTGGTTTCACTGCAAAGCAAGCAGTGATGGTGAGCATTTAAATAAATTATTGGTGTCTGTCCATATAATCTCCTCCAGTGTTAGACATTCATTTTAGCAGTACAAGCTTTTCATTGCTAGTATAGCAAAAGGTATACATCATGCTCTCCTCTGTTCTGTCTTCATTTCTAAACTTTTGCACAGTAGATTCATTGCACATATTCTCCAGAAACCTCAGGAAGTTGATCATGAATGTGTACAGCTGGAATGCTTATAATTTGGGGCGGGGGGGAATTATTTAAAGAAACAATTCCTGTATGGGGACCAAGCATCCAGAAGAGTGATTTTTTTTTAAAGAGTTCGCCAAGAAATGAACCTACTTAGATGTATATTTCATGCCTAGCCAAACATATGTTGCCAGGAAAATAATTGTGTGTCTGGAAGATCTTGTAAGTTGACCTTTTCCACAGCTCTTAGAGGTGTGATGATATTGCTGTTTTATGATAAAGAAGAAGGGAGGAAGGCCCCAGAAAGAGAAGCTGCAGTCAGAACTCATCTGGTGACTTGGCTTTGCTGATACCTTCGTCTCATAACATAGTGATTAGAGTTCTGGCTCAGTAGCAGTTGTCAACTGGATTATTTTTGTCAAGCTACTGGGTTGGGTTCATTTGTGAGAAGGTGCTGTTGGTTAACCATGCCCTTTTGCGTCCACCCCTGCTGCAGGTGCCCTGGTGGACCAGGGTGTCTTCGAGGAGCTGGCCCGGGACTATGTCCCGCAGCTCTACGACTGCATGCAGGACCTGGGCGTGATCTCCACCATCTCCCTGTCCTGGTTCCTCACCCTGTTTCTTAGCGTGATGCCCTTTGAGAGTGCAGTGGTGGTCGTCGACTGTTTCTTCTATGAAGGAATCAAAGTGATATTCCAGTTGGCCCTAGCTGTGCTCGATGCAAATGTAGACAAGCTTTTGAACTGCAAGGACGATGGGGAGGCTATGACCGTTTTGGGAAGGTATTTCTCACCTTGAAAACTACCTTTGGGTTTTCTTCTCTGTACTTTTCATCTGTCTTTGTCCTTGGTTCTGTGAGTCTTATTTGCCCTGATGGTTATCATAGGGCCCACTTCTCTGTGTGGTTGAAGATTGTTGTTTTTTTTTCTTTGACTTTAGAAGTGAAGACAGTTAACTATACTTCAGTTTAAAAAAATAATAAAATTTTAAAAAGAAGTGAAGGGATTTTCATTCACTCTTAAGGAAATTCTAGTCTTCTGATAGGCAGAGTTTGCAGAAAATCAGTGGACAGCTATAATGGGGGAATTCCAGATTTGCCTCCCAGTGACTTGGGATTCTGTTCTTCTTCAGGTATTTGGACAGCGTGACCAACAAAGACAGCACGCTGCCCCCCATCCCTCACCTCCACTCGCTGCTCAGTGATGACGTGGAGCCCTATCCCGAGGTTGACATTTTCAGACTCATCAGAACTTCCTATGAGGTAGGTCTGCCTGGGGTCACCACACTCGGCGTGCTCAGAGGGCCTCTGCTGGGTGTGCACCACACGCTTCCATCGCTAACCCAGGGGTCCCCTGCCTCCCTCCTGGTTCTGAGAACTGGTTGTCGAAGCAGGCAGCTCTCTACCAGCTGACAGCTTTGAGCTTTAGAGTGGGCCACTGAATGAATGGGCCAGACACCATAAAGCGATTGCATGACCCGCTCAGGCCTCCGATTCTTGGCTTTGCGCACCTTGTAAGCTGATCAAGGAGAGGCTCGTTTTCAGCTCTGGGTGGGTTGAGGAGGGGCTGCTGAAAGCAGGCTTGGGGAGGTTGACCTTCTCTGTGCTCCTGCCAAGTCCTTGGGTCTCCTGGGGAGTAGACGAGCCAATCCTCTTACGGGGGGAGCACATAGAATACTCTCTGCTCCCAGAGAAGAGCCAGACTTCTAGGATTCCTCTCAAATTGCTCGGCCCGGGGTGGGGAAGGTATGTTCTGGTCCACAGTGACCCCAGTTCTGGTCCTGAATTCCACAAAAGAGCTAGTAGTGCTGTGTACCTCATAGCACTTGTGGTTTCTGGCATTCCGAGGACTCAGGACCCATAATACCTGTGGTTTGTTCCTTTCCTGATCACTAAGGAAGAGCATGAGTATTTTGCTGGGCACACCAGGTCCTCTCTAGATGTTTTGGGATCGTGTGACTGATGATTGTCAGCATTCCAGCTAGCAGCAGCTTGGATACTAGAGAGATGGTGACCTCCAGCTGAGGTCAGAAAATCTCTCTTAAAGAGAATTAAAAAAAAAAAAATAGGTGCTTTTAAAAAAAATTGGTATGGATCCAGACACGTTTTCAGAAATGTGTGCCCTTAACTCAAAATATAAGAAAGTCTGATAATTTATTATTTCAGAAAATTTTTGTTAGCACTCCATACATATTAAAAACAAAACATTTGGGGTGTGTTTTAGCATGATAAAAGTAATGCATGCGAGGGAGGTGGGAGGGGGGACCGGGATGGGGAATACATGTAAATCCATGGCTAATTCATCTCAATGTATGACAAAAACCACTGCAATGATGTAAAGTAATTAGACTCCAACTAATAAAAATAAATGAAAAAAATAAAAAATTAAAAAAAAAAAGTAATCCATGCTTATTGTAAAATAATGTAGAGACTGAACACATGTGAAAGAAAAACTGTATCCTGTGAGCATCTCAGCATATCTCCCTCCAGTATGTTTCTATATTTGCAATTTATACTTAGTACAAGTATCTGCTTGTAAGGGCTTTGTAACTTCCCATTTTTGACTTAAAATACATGACAAATGTTCTCTGATATTTAATATATTGTTTGTTGGCAAGTTTTCATAGAGTCTTAATATTCTGCTTTAATGAGATGCCAAACCTTATTTAGCTGGTCCCTTTCGTTGGACATTTACTTCGGTTGCTTCCAAATTTTCAGTACCATATTGGCAAATTTGTATGGTATTATTATGTATATGTAATATGTATGCCACTATGTATTATATAAAAGTTTCTACACAAATAGTACATCTCTGACTTTTTTTAAAGAGTCCATTCTTAGGAATAGATTTCCAGTAATAGATCAAAAAGTATTAATTATTTCCAAGCTCCTGGCACACACTGTCCAGCTTCTATATAGATTTTCCTGATTTAAATTTTCACTAGTAGAGATTTAAGGATGACAGTTTCACTTCACTCTTTCCAAAACTGGTTATTATCATAATACATTTTTAAAAAAATTATTGCCCCAGGACTTTTAATAGTCCTCCATCAGAAATGTTGAATGATTATTTTCCCAGAAAAAGAGCCCATGTGACTGAAAGCAATAGTTATTATTATACCTGTGGGTTGTTTTTCTAAAGGCATCCTCCGAAACCTTTATTGCGAAGAGAATTCTAGACCCAAGTAATAAAGCTTGGTATGTAGAAACTCAGCTTTGTTCTTCACAACAGATAAGCTAAGGTCTCGCTGAGGTCAGCACGTGGCCCGTTTTTAATGGGAAAGAGTGGCGAATGGAAGCAAGACCAGAGCTGGTGTCCATTTCCTTCCTTCCTTTCTGGTCCCTAATGGTGCCCCTCAGGCTGCCAAGAGTCCTATCGCAGGACACAGCCATAGTTTCCTTCCTCTGCCTGGGAAGACACCCTTGTTTATTTTTACCAGTGCCTACATCACCTGCTCTTTCAATGCTTTTGTGATTTGCTTTTTGTCTTCTCTTTGCTCGGTGGCACTGCCATACTAATAAGCCTCCAGTGCCTTCCCAATGCCTTATCTGTGTGCACTTGCCAAGTTGCTCAGTCATGTTGGAGTCTGTGGGACCCCATGGACTGTAGCTCACCAGCCTCCTCTGTCCTTGAGATACTCCAGGCAAGAATACTGGAGTGGGTTACCGTGCCCTCCTCCAGGGGATCTTCCCGATCCAGGGATTGAACCCGCGTCTCTTAGGTCTCTTGCTTTGGCAGGAGGGTAATTTACCACTGGTGCCACCTGGGAAATCCCCATTGCCTTAATAGATCATCCTAAAGACAATACCACAAAGTCTTGCCTTTCCTTTTTTTTTTTTTTTTTTGCTGCCTCCTATTAGAGTGGTGGTCCTCAATTCTGTTTGTGCATTCAAATTCCTTAAAAAAAAATTTTTTTTAAGCCAAGCTTTAAAAATATAAATTCCTAGGCTCCATTCTAGACCAGTTCCCTTTGTATCTTGGTATGACACCTAAGAAGAAATATTTTTCAAAAGTTCCCAGGTGATTCTGGAGCCCAGTGGGGGCTGGGAGTCACTGTCCTAGATGCAGAATGGGGCCACTAGATGCCTAGGCGGATTTTAACCCGGTTATACAGCAGACACCAGTGTTCTGAAGCTGGTGACTCCTTGCTTTCCGTGCTTCAGGATAGTTAGCCAGGAAAATAGATACGTAGGAAGAATACTGAAAGCACATTCAGTCTTGAGATCCCAGGATGCTGCAGGTCCATCACCTTTCTGCTGATGAATAGATGTGATAACTTTCTTCATAAATGCCTCATGGGGAAATCTCACACATTGTGAAGTTCTCCCAAGCCCCTCCTGGAAGGAGGGGCAGTTTGAGAGACAATTTTCTTCTGTTTGGGCCCTGTGTGCCATTTTGTTAGACACACAGACATGGTAGACAAAGCCCCAGCCTTCAGGTTTAATCCATAGACTGAGATGAGCCTCCTGGAAGACACAGAGCACATTAATAGAAGAATTACAGCAGGCACATGACCACCACAGAGTTTCTTCATGTTCAAGTTGACTCACCCGGAGCATTTGAGAAATGTTACGCAAGGGGATGACAGAGGATGAGATGGTTGGATGGCATCACCGACTTGATGGACTTAAGTTTGAGCAAGCTCCAGGAGTTGGTGATGGACAGGGAAGCCTGGCATGCTGCAGTCATGGGGTTGCCAAGAGTTAGACGTGACTGAGGGACTGAACTGAACTGAAGTGGGGATAGGAGGTGGCTGATAAAACATAAGGAGGAGTTTGTGCAGGACAGACAGTTTGAAAGTTCAGATTAATGTGTTGGGCTTATTAATTTTGGTGATAATAGCTGTCCCTCATGGAGAACCCACCTCGTGTGGGACAGGTGCCAGGTGCTTCATCAGTAGCCCCACCAGGTCCATATTCACACATTTTAAGTTGAAAATATAAGTTGAGAGAGGTTGAGTCAGTTCTCCCAAGGCACATGGAAAGTGGCAGAGTCAGGAGGCAGACGAGAGCTCCCCAGCATTAAAGCCAGAGCCAAGGGGATGTGTCTGGATAGAATGTGGATGGACTTGTAGGTGTACATATGGACATGAGGTCAATGGGTCCAGTAGAGGCTGGTTAGTGGGAAGTCTTGAAACCACTAATTGATTTGCAAGTCACCCAGCAGCCACTGCAAAGAGAGAGGATCTACTTGGCCATTGTTTGCTTGCTCTTTTCAGAATTCTTTTCTGTCAGAGCCCCTCCAAAAAGGCGAAGAGGCAGGGGAGAGGAGATCATGGCCCAGTCCTCCACATAAAACATTTTCCTTTACAAATACTCTGGAAATAGCTAGGCAGGAACCTGGGAGTTTACGGTTTCCTTTTAGGTTGGGACTGTTTGCTCTCAATGAAAGGGCCATTATATGTATTCCATTGTGTCTGATTATGGCCAGTCCCTGGACCTGCCTGGCAAACTGCAGGGTCCATTTCTACAGAGGTTAATTAAATATAAAATGTAGAGGGCTCTTTGAAGGTCAGGCTTGGGGGAACTAACTCTTTGGGATTTTCTAAGCACAGATACTAGTACGGGTTGCCCTTTCCTTCGCCAGGGGATCTTCCTCACCCAAGGATAGAACCTGTGCCTCCTGCACCACCAGGTGGATTTTTTTTTTTCATATATTTTTATTAGTTGGAGGCTAATTACTTTACAGTATTGTAGTGGTTTTTGCCATACATTGACATGAATCAGCCATGGATTTACATGTGTCCCCCATCCCGATCCCCCCTCCCACCTCCCTCCCCATCGCTTCCCTCTGGGTCTTCCCAGTGCACCAGCCCTGAGCACTTGTCTCATGCATCCAACCTGGGCTGGTGAACTGTTTCACCCTTGATAATATACTTGTTTCAATACTACTCTCTCAGATCATCCCACCCTCACTTTCTCCCACAGAGTCCCAAAGTCTGTTCTGTACATCTGTGTCTCTTTTTCTGTCTTGCATATAGGGTAATTGTTACCATCTTTTTAAATTCCATATATATGCGTTAGTATACTGTATTGATCTTTATCTTTCTGGCTTACTTCACTCTGCATAATGGGCTCCAGTTTCATCCATCTCATTAGAACTGATTCAAATGAATTCTTTTTAATGGCTGAGTAATATTCCATTGTGTATATGTACCATAGCTTTCTTATCCATTTGTCTGCTGATGGGCATCTAGGTTGCTTCCATGTCCTGGCTATTATAAACAGTGCTGCGATGAACATTGGGGTACACGTATCTCTTT